GGAACATATAAGTAAGAGAGCTTTCTGGGTATGTCAGGGTGATAAGACTCTAAGGTGTATTTGTTTGGTATGGTTCCTTTACATTTCTGTGTGCATGGATACATGTATATGTGTGTGTGTCTTACTGTGTGATGTCCCAGAGCTGCCATGATGTCTGCCAGTGTTTGAGAAACGCTACCCAGGCTGCCTCTCGTCCTCTGCTGGCGCTTCCTTGGAGCTCGCCACTCTAGCCACATCTTGTGCTGGTTGACCACGCCACTGTCACCATGGTGACTAGCCAAACTGTTGCCTAGGTAACCACCAGATGCATTGGAGTTGCTGGGATCAAAACTGTGCACTTCACATCCTAGTCCTGACACAGTCTTTAGAAAGTCTGCATCTCCTTCATTCATGCTAGAGAGACAAAGAGAAACACAAAAAGACAGAAGGAGAGGCACTGGCAGCAGTGTACAGAGATGGTTTGAAGATTATTGCATCCATGGTTAAATGCACTGTATTGTATATTCTAATACTGCAGTGCATACACTGACACATGCATATACTTTAGCAACATATGAAGGAGTACGCAACACACAATCTGTCCACAGCTGGAAGGAGACCTGGACCTGGAGAGAAGACCCTGGAGCAGTTCAGCTGGGGATGGACAGGAGACCAGTTTTACACAGAATTAGCATTCAGCTAAACATGTAGAGAGGAAGCTAAAAAGGAAGTTGTGTGAGAGCTTGTGTAAAGTATGTGAGAACAATTCACACAGTAAGTGATATTCCAAGTACCTTTAGGTAAGGTAAACAAATTTTGGTAAAATGACTTAAATGTGTGATTCAGTTAACGGTAATCATTTATCAATACATTTGACAGTGGGGGATTGGATAATTACTGAAACACACACACACACACACACACACACACACAAAATCAACCCACCATACTGGGTTTAATTAGTAAATACATTTTCCCCTCCCAGTTCCCTAGCACTTGTCATTATGTAATCCTTAGCTCTGGTTTGGGAGTTTCCAGTCTGGAACTGTGAGTACTAGCTCCAAATTTGGCAGATTTCTGCTGCCAGCATATCGACAGTGGCTGACTGATCATATTACTGCTATGCTAACCCCTACACCGGAAGTCTGCACTAGTAGAAGCCAAGAAGTTGAAAAGATGAAGGTTTTATTAATTACTGTGATGTCTTGGCAAGATCTAATTCCTGGCTACAGTGTCTGTAGGTCCAGAATCCTACAGATTTTTTTCCAGATAATTTATCTAATAAAATGGACAGTGATTAGTTTTACCTTTTCAGTCCAGTAAAATGATTCAAACAAAACAATCGGAAAGGTGAATGTTGCTTTTTGATTTAACTAGACAGAGGTAACTTTGATTTAAAGGGTCACAAGCCACAAAGGTTGAGGACCACTGTATACATATATGTAATACCCAATTCCAAATTGTGTCAGGTAGTGTTCATATTAGAGGTCTCAGTGGGCATTCAGACTTTTCACACATTGATGCTCCTTTCACACGTTTTCAAATTAGTCGTTTTCAGTTTAGTGAATGACAACTTTAAGGAGGCAGGATGTCTTTTGCTGACATCAGTACTGTGTTTTATATGATGTTCTGTGTAACCTACCTGTGGCCTGGTGATATATGTGACGATGCGATTGAGTTCTGCTGTGAAGGACGGCTTGTCTGCCACCCAAGGTTGCACCTCCAGTGGTCTGGGTCCAACCTGGTTAACATATACAAATAAATAAGATACTGTTGCAAGCAATAGCAGCAGGTTCATGGGAATGCAGAAGGGGGTTGAATAAATGCATAGTAATGACAATAATGTGTGTGTGTTGTGTCTACACCCCTGGACCAGGTGCTGAGGAGGCAGTTCACATGCTCTGACCTCAGTCCTGCTGGTAACATATTTTGCCTGAAGCACTGCAGACACTCAGAAAAAGCCCCCACCCTGCTCAGACTGAACCCTGTGGTCACCATGGCAACCTCGGTGGGGGTGGGGGGTGATCACTAGAATGAGTCAGAGAGTTTTGCCTTGGGCAGAAAAAGAGACAGTGAGGGGGTGTGAAGAGATAAATGCACAAACACAAACTCAGCTGAAGGTTGAAGGACTGTGCAACTAGTGGCAAAAGAGGAGTCACCTCTCTCTGATCTGGGGTCAGTGCTGTGTTCACCTTCTGCCCTCACCTGTTCCATAGTGTCTGTAATGATTTGCAGAGCTGTGCACAAACTGCCCTAGCATAATGAATAAAATAGACGAGGAAACCAAAGCAGGGTACTGTAAGTTTAAGCCTGACAATGTATGTACACTGACAAGCTCCATCTGCCTCCTACTTTCAGTTCAAATTCAGTACATTTTTAAAAATTATGGTGAATTGGCGTTAATATGACATAAATTCGAGGTGTGTGAACATGCAAAACTGTTTGTCAGTTCTCCCCAAGTCTATGTTATGTAATGCAATAAATATCAATTATTTAGCTATGATGCAAAATATTTAAAACATTTTACTTAAACTTTATCTCTAGTGCTACTTACCTGGCGAGAGTGCATCTCGTTCTCGTCCTCATAAGCTCGTGCCTCCTCCCTCCTTACCCAATCTTCCACCTCCACCACTTCCTCCAGACCCGGTCCCCGGGTCGGGAATCCCCGTTGGTGTGTGGTCCCCACCGGTTCGATGCTGATAACGTAAAAGGCAACCGCGTCCTCCTGCTCTTGCACCCCCGCTCTTGCGGCTCGAGGTAATCGTGGCCCGACGACGAGGATGTGGAGCGCGAGGACAAACGGTGGGATTAAAAGAAGTATTCCTGAGCGAAGGTGGAGACCGCCGCGGCCCCACCATGGAGCACAGGTCCGCATTCCCCCTCCGCGGTGGCACCGGGGAACATCTCCGGCACGGTGCCCTGTGAGTCAACCTTTTTTTTCTGGAGGGCCGTGAGGAAAGTCCCAGCTGAGAACTCCCCTCCTCCTCCTTCCTCCCCGACCTCCTCCTGTTCTTTCTTTACCCCCAGGGGAAAGCTGTGATGACGGAGCGCATTCCTGGGTCAGTGTGGCCTCTTGGATACACTGCCTGACGTTTTGTTTAGCCCAAAACCAAGTCATGCACTACATCAACAGGGTTCTGCATGCTCAGAGATATCCCTCCACTTATTTTGATTCTGCAGCTACAGAGGAATTTTGGTCTGAAATTTAACAAGCTTATTAGCATTCATACCAACTTTCAGTTTGCCTTTAGGTTCTCATCATTTCCTTTTTCAACATATTTATTTAATTTTTCTCTTTTAATATTTATGATATATAGCCTATGCATTGCTTATCTGCTGAGATTTACTGAGCTTTATCCAAACATGTTGACTTTGTCAAATAAAGTTGCTTTTTAAAAGTTTAGAATTTACTTAGATGTTGGTTTAAAAAAAAAACATACTCTGTAACAGGCCAAAAAAAGAACTAACAGCCTTTAAGTATTGTTAGGCAAAATACTAAACTTGTATAAAAATGCCATGTTAATACAAAAAGAAAAGAACTGAGCTAATTACCTGTGACTGAACACCTACTAAAGTTGTTGCTCCACATTTATTTGGCATCTACCTATAGGAGATTAACATTTTACATAGTAAACCTGTGATACGTTTATAAAACATGTTACTCTAAAGCTCAGCAGTGCATAATGTTAGAATTAGCTCCACCTTTACCAGCTACATTAAAAATGCTGCTTACATGTTAATAGATCAACTCTTTTGGTACATTTTAATGGCAACACTTGTGAGACTATTTGTAATGGTGTATCCTTACATTATGCTATTTCTTCTGTTTCTTAAGATCTCACTATTTCTGCCACTAATTGTTGAGGAAAAAGTTACAGATTATGAAAGACTTGTGTCGTTACCTCGCTAAGACTAAGTGTTTTAGTTGGCTGTGTCACAGGAAGAATGTTCAAATGAAATGATATTATTTTGTATACATATAGTACAAAAGAAAAATTTGAAAGAGAGCTGTGGCTCCAGCGCCTCCTCCACTCTGTCAGTCATGTAGTGTTGTTGACAGTGTGTGTCCCTCTCCACCATACAGTGGAATGTCACAGCAAACACATTTCCTCCGGCCATGTCTGGGTCTATTTAGTCAGCCTGTTGACAAACTGAACACAATATGCAGCCAGTAAACTCCCCCCATCTGTTTTCTCTCCCTCTCACACACTCTGTCTGTCTGGCACACACACACACATACACACAAGCTGCAGATGTATAATATTTGCTGCATTAGAGCAAGATTCCCTGTGAGGACATGTATGGTCCCTTCCTGTCATCAACAACCTTTACACTGTGCTTTAATACATTTCCTTATTTGGATGAGGAATTCTGAAACAGTACATTTTGTTTTAGTGGCTTTAAAACCCCTCTGACACTCTTTTTTAATTTCCCCAGTCTGGTTTCTTTTTTTCCCTTCCAACACATCCTCCCCTGTTCTTCCCGCCATCCATTCCTCGCCTCCCCTCCCTTTCACTCCCTGTCGAATTGCGTCCTTGACTGAACTCTCTTGCTCACACTCCCAGACAGCCTGGGCGAAGCCCAATACTCAGAGAAGCTTTAAAACACACACACACACACACGCAAACATGCTCTCACCTCCCCTAATCCCTTAAAGGAGCAGTATGCTATAGACCAGGTTACCAATGGCAAGAACAGAATGTGTATTTAAATATTTTGCACCTCAGATACATACATGATATGTAACAGACAGATATACAATTTTTTCATCACAAAAACCACCAAACAATACAAGACCACAGAAAAAAGAAGGGAGAGAGTGAAAGAAAGAATGAGGCCCCGGCAAGACTTCGGCATCTAGGGAGCTTCAATTCTTTTGACCCCACAGGCACACACACACTCACACATATATACACACACATACACACAAATACATGCATTACGCCTGCCACACAAACAAAATCTCCTCTGTCTCATATTTGCACACA